AATTTTTCTGGCTAGGCGACATTGTAAAAATTATCGTTTCATGAAACAAAACTTCGCAAGTCAGTAAGCCTGTGCCTCCCACTATCTATGAGCTTATAATGCTAGATATCGAGTTATAATGTCCGCGGTGGGTAGAGCACAGATAGTCCATTATGTAGCTTTGCGATTAACAACAAACAAACTGTAAATAAATATTCCAAACTCAACTTTATTGAATAGATTTTGGATACTTTACTGAATTCACTATCGTGTACAAGATAAGGGGAAAGAAATATAAACTAGGTTTCTTTAGGTGTTTTTATTTTCCGCAACCAGCTCATCTTTAATGAAGCTTGAATAATATTTCGGATCTCTGGTTCAAGACAGTGATGGTTGGGATTAGATAATAAAAAAAAATCTGGTACAGAAGAAGCCAGAATTTTTTTAATGTCCCTTGTGTTTTTAACACACTTTTTATTCTAGGCAGGAAATTACCACCAGTTACACTGGTCTATTTTGTAAAATGCCATAGATATGTAGCGCTTTTAGTGTAATATCTCACTTGTTTTTTGCTTAATCTTCTCAAAGGTATAGCTTTTTTCAGTAAACTAAAATCATCAGGCAATTATAGCATGTAAAATACACCAGAGATTCATTCTGTTGTAAAACACCGTAGTCTATATCACCGTTAAATACATTTTAACTTGCAGATTTTATAGGACACTCCTCATTTCAAAAATATACTAAACTTATTGCAACAGTTGATATGTATACTTGCATATTCATGTCCAGTGTAAACTGATTTATGCTACACTGGTACTCACTTTGAAAGTACGTTTGTGTTGAGGTTTATACTGTACATAGAAACATAATGCAATTGCATAGCATGCTCTGATCGGTGTCCCCTAGTGACACAGTGGTAAGTCTGAAGGCTTATAACGTTAAAAAACCGGGTTTCGATACTCGTGGTGGGCACATTACAGATAGTCCATTGTGTAGCTTTGTGCTTAACTACAAAAAACAAGTGCTATAATCGGAAGTTAATTAATATATAATGAATAAAATGTATTTTGCTTTCATAATGAATACGCATTACACTGCTGTCTTCAGAATTTCTCACGATTATTATAGCTCACTGAATCATTTATTGTTTCCTGGTGTCCCTATGGTAAGCTTGAGGGCTTTTTCTCTTTCCATTTAGGTAGACGCGAAGTAGATTCCATTAGGATAGAAAAACATGATTGCATAACACAGTGAAATTAGATAAGCAAGCTTCAGTCTATCTGAAACCTTTGTACTGTAAACTTGACCTTGTTTTTGTGGTCAGAAAAGGGTGCTTCATTGTTGCTTTAAAACCATTGATTTCTGTAAACTTGTTTTTTGGCCAGTTATCTTATTCACAACATAACGAAATTATTTACTTCCTGTGTTTTTTCCTTCTTATCTCATCAACTGCTAAGGGCATATAATTTTTTATTGTAGAGCACAGTCATGAGTACGTGTATGCTATACGCCATATAACTTTTGTTTTAGCCTTGAAAAGTGTGATATTTAACTACGTGTAATTTTGTACCACCATGCAATCCTTTTTAAACTTCACAAAGTTTACCAGTTTCTGGTTTCAGATAAGTAATGAAATATTCAAAAAAAAAATATATATATTTTGTATTTAAAAATAAACCTGTTACTGGGATAGTTATTTATCTATAAAGGTGGCAGTAAAAGAGTAAACCACAGTGAAATGCAAACTTTGGGAGCGCTTTAAAAACACATCCCGTCAGTAGTAATCGTGTATTTCAACTTTTAGTTTTCGTTGAAAAATACACTAAACTTGCAATAAAAATAACGAAATTGTCACCTTGATATAGTTATTATTATGGCTGAGAATACTGTGGATAAATAGTGCTTCGTTCAGAAATTTATTTATTTTTACTCTTCGCGCGTTGTCTGTGTATCCTCATTAAATTATAAATACTCAATAAATGTTAATGGAAGAATTTAATTTTCGCGGAAATAATTTTCTAATCACTTTAAAACAAAATATATATTTGAAAATTTATTTTCCTATTTGTTTGCTTAAAATTTGGACGCAATAAAATATCACATAGCTTTTTATTACAAATTGTTTTAGCTGCATAGTTGTAGTATGGGCTTCCTGCGTTGCGTGTACCGTGAAGATCGAACCCTGGATTCGAGCCTTATACGTCCTTTGGCTTTCTGCTAAGCCACCGAATGACTTGAGTATATATATTAAAAGATACCACGCTATTTTCCATGTAATATTAGCTAACATTAGTTACCTACAGCTGCACTCTTCCTACTCTTGATAAAGCTTTTTACCTGAGCTTACCCAGTTGTAGCTAAGACGTGTGAATAATTGTGAAGAAAGGGGTGGTGAGTATAAGTAAACTAATGCGAGTACAGGTTCAAAGCTCAGCAAGATCCAGTAATTCTTTTATGGGCATTGTTAAGCTCAAACTGGGGCACCGGGAAATATCCAGATGGGTCCCCTTGGAAAGGTAGATAAAGTAATATATTAATACTCTGTCAGCACAATCAATGAATAATTATTTTTCTGTTGCCACCACGTTAACATCTAAATTAATATTTGTGTTAATTCTGCCGCTAATATAATGCATCGAAAAGGATTTATTGGCAGTATTTCTGTTGGAGACGTCATCTACTATCTGTGGACTTACAACGCTAGAAACCGGGTTTCGATACCCGTGGTGGGCAGAGCACAGATAGCCCATTGTGTAGCCTTGCGCTTAACTTCAAACAAACAAACAAATCTACTATATTGTGTAGAACTCTTTCTTTGTGTTTTAAAATAACTAATTGTGTAAACTATCTACAACTAGTGTCCTAACTACATATATTTCTTAAATACGTATTTTTGTGACAAATTTGTGGGCATCCTCTAAAGTTTTTCTCCAGTAGAATTTTAGAATCTGGTCGGCCCTGGGCTTGGTAGTATGTTTCCACGTATGATTTTAACAGTGCTTTGTTGTTTTTCTTATACTACTTCAACTTATATTTAAATAATGGATGACGTGGATATCATAGGAGTTTATTAGAAGGTTGTCATTGGTAGTGATGAAATTATTATTATTTTTTTTTTTACCTGAATGATGAAATAAACTACTTTAGAAACTGACCGTATAGCAGTCCAATGGCCTTCAGTTGACCTCTATTGTATTAACCAGCGTACAGGAGCGTAAGTGATCGCGTAGAGTTAACCGCCTTTCCGTCCGTCTTGTTAGAAATGAAATCAAGTATCAGAACGTGTAGTTTCTTCCATGGAAGGTAGCTAAACATTTTTTTTATATCGTTATTATTTTGATATCAGTTTTATCCCTAAAATAAAAACTGAATACTTTAAGAAAGGAGGTGAATGAAAAGAACACATTTCTGAAGTTAGTGAATGAGGGATTGAACGTTTCTGGAAACTCAATATGAAATGTCTAGTTTTCGTATTCAGATAACGCAGTCTAGTAAAAAAAAATAAAGGATTATGTATAAGAGATTAGGCTATATACCGTATTTTTCGGTGTATAAGACGCACATTTTTACCCCAAAATTTT